CCGCTCCGGAACGCCCAAGCTGGCCCCAAAAGGCATCCAAGACGTCCCATGAGAGCCCGAAGATGGCCCCAAAGAGGGCACCCGACACCAACGTTGAGTTATGTTCTAAAAATGTTCGATCGATTTGAACATGCTCGCTTTTTCGGACTTCCGACTTCGGACCGCGCAAAGCGGTCAAAGAGGCCCCCAAGATCGCCCCAAGACGGCCCAAGTGGCTCTTAAGAGGGCCCCAGAACGGTCCAAAAAGCTTCCAAAACGGCCCAAGAGGGCCCCAAGACAACCCAAGAATCCCTGCAATACTGCCCAAGATGGCCCCAAGAAGGACAACCCGAGCTGACATTTCGAGCTTCTTCCCCTAACATGGCCCCGGAGACAGCCGAGGGGTCCCCAAGACGCCTCTAGAGGCCCTCAAGAGGCCACCAAGAGGCCCCCAAAGCCACCAAGGCGTCTTCAAAAGACCCCCGGGGAAGCCCCAGAAATGCTTCAATGATCTGGTCTCGGGGGCCCCCAAGAGACCCCAAGAAGTTTCCCATACAGGCCTCTGCATGTCCCTCACGTTCCACAGGTCCCCAAGGTCTCGCGGGTTTCAGAGGCCCCACAGGTCCCGCACATTCCACAGGTCCAACAGGTCCAACAGGTCTCGCAGGTCCTCCAGGACCTACAGGTCTCGCAAGTCCCCCAGGTCCCACAGGTCTCGAAGGCCCACAAGTCCTACAGGTCCCACGTGTCCCAAAGGTTCCGCAGGTCCAACAGGTCGCACAAGTGTCGAAAGCCCCGCAGGTTCCATAAGTCCAACAAGTACCACAAGTCCAACATGTCCCGCAAGTCTCATGGGTCTCACAGGTCCCGCAGATCTCGCAGGTCCTACAGGTCCCACAGGTCCCGCTGGTCCCACAGGCCCCACGGGTCCAACATGTTTACAGGTCTCGCAGGACCTACAACTGCCACAGGTCTCCCATGTCCCGCAAGTCGCACAAGTTCCACAAGTCCCACAAGTGAAGTATCAAAGATCCCACAGATCTCACACATCCTAATACAGGTGTCGAAAATCCAGCAATTCCCTCAAATGTCGCACATCCCATGGGACCCACAGCTCGCATAGGTGCCGCAAGTCCAGTAAACCCGCAGGTCCCACAAGTACACTGGGTCACCTTTGCGGCTATTAGAAAACTTTGCCTGGGTAATCGTGTTTCCCGTGTTGTCTGAAGATGGAGTTGCTGTGCCCCGATCCAACCGCCCAGCGTTTCGTGTTCTCCGAGGAGGAGAAGGCAGAGGATGAGGATGAGGATGAGCACTTGCAGGAGCTCCCCAGTTCCAACTCCAGTTCCAGCTCAGCTCCAACTCGAACCCCAGATCCAGCTCGAGCCCAGATCCAGCCCCAGCCCTATGAAACATGAGCCCCTGGGAGCTCTTCGTTTCTGTTGAAACCGATGAGCTCTGTATGCCGTTCACATCCATGAGACACGTGACCATGTGACCCTCATAAACAATACGAACCTCGTGCGCCCCAGAACCTTCGGAGAACCTTCCAGACCCGTGGCGCCCGCCACCTCTCTAAGAGCTCTGGGACCGCGCCGCCCCAGTCCCCCATTCCCGAATGACGGCAATGGCGGTCGCAGCGCACCTTGCTGGCGCTATGCGACTAACATTGTAACGACGAAGCGTGGCGAGCCAGTAACATCTTGTATACATGTGTGTATATATATATGTATGTATAAATATATACATATGTATATGTATATGTATATGTATGTTTAAATGCCTATATTTAATTACCCCCCCCTAAACCGGACCCCCCCAGGGACGCCCTAGACGCCCTTTCGGACGTTTCGGCGGCCCACAAGACGCCCTTGGAGAAGGTCAGCTGGTCCTTCCGAGCCTCCCAGGGCGCCTTGCCAGGTCTTGCGAGCAGACTCGAGGCGATCAGAGGGGTCATCGGACAAAGCGCACGAGAGACCCAAAACAGCACCAAGAGGAACCTCGATGGTCCGAAAACGGCCCGAGGGACCCCCAAGACGCCCCAAGAAGCCGTTTAGAAAGCCCCGAAGAAGCAAGCATCGTCCCATTCCTTTGCGAAAATGAATATAGTTTCAGCATCTCCATTTTTTGGGGCCTCGCAGCGTCCACGACGGCCCGATGGGCCTGCGATATCGCCCCAAAACGACTCAGGAGGTTCCCCAGAGGGCTTGAAGACGGCCCAAAAGGACCCCGAACCACCCCACAGAGCCCCGAGACTGGTCACAAAAAGCCCAAGATGCCCCCAAAAGGCCCCCAAGAGAGACCCACGAACACCATTGGATGAGACCCCCCAAAAAGCCACTGGAGGCCACCAGGAGGGCCCTAGATGGCTTCAGAAAACCGCCCTAGCTCCCCAAGACGGCCCAAGAAGGCCCCAGGACGGCCCAAAAGAGCCCCAGGACGGCCCAAGAAGGCGCCAAGACTGCCCAAAAGGGCCCCAGGACGGCCCAAACGAGCCCCAAAAGCACCAAGACGGCGTTCTCCGACAAAGTACATCGAGCTGACCCGAAGATCTTGGTTCCACGCTTGAGGCTCGAGGTTTCAATTCCTCGATCGAGACAGGCAAGCAATGGATCAATATTCGAAGTTCCGGAGCTACTGCGACTCTTCGGCGTGCCATGGGAACGCTCCTTACTTCCTCAAAGGATGGGCTCAACCACCAGAGGAGGCGCAAGAGGAGGAACTCAGGATGAAGGCATGGGCAGGGATAAACCTCGGATGTGGCAGATGAAGCGCCAAACGAAACTTTACCCCCTACCTCCTCCTATGAGGTGCCGGTCGCCCGTCCAAGCCTCGAGGTCCCCCTTGCTGAAACAACAACTGATTTATTGCGTTGCCGGGGAAGCGTCCGGAACAAGGCGCATGGCGCGAACCGAGACTGCAGTCTTGTATATGTATGTATGTATGTATGTATGTATGTATGTCTGTCTGTCTGTCTGTCTGTCTGTCTGTCTGTCTGTCTGTCTGTCTGTCTGTCTGTATGTATGTATGTATGTATGTATGTATGTATGTATGTATGTGTATATATATATATATATATATATATATATATATAGATTTCTATGTACGTATGTGTGTATGCATGCATGCATGCATGCATGCATGCATGCATGCATGTATGTACGTTTGTGTGTACATATATATATATACATACATTCCCATTCCTGTATTTGATTACCTGGACCTCCCCCTGAACCAACCCCCCCCCGGGGACGCCACGGACGCCCTTTCGGACGTCTCGGCGGCCCCCTGGACGACCTTGGAAAGGTCCGGTGGCCCTTCCGGGCCTCCCAGGGCGCCTTGCCGGGAAGTGCGAGTAGACTCGAGGCGATCAGAAGGGTCACCGGAGAGGCGCAAGAGAGACCCAAGACAGCACAAGAGCGCTCCAAGAGGAACCTCGATGGTCTGAGGACGGCCCACGAGGCCCCCAAGATGCCCGAAGAGGCCGTTAAGAGAGCCCCGAAGAAGCAAACACCGTCCCACACCCGCAAAGAAATCTGTATTTTTAACATTGCCGCTTTTTGGTTTTTCGCATCGTCCAACACGGCCCGGTGGGCCCCCGCTATCGTCCCAGAACGGCCTCCTAAAAAACCCAGGTAGTTTGAAAACGGCCCACGAGGGACCCAAAACTGGCCCGGAGAGCCCCGAGACTGCCCACAATAAACCCAAGATGCCCCCAGAAGGCTCCCAAGAGAAACCGGCGAATGCCATGGGCTACTCCCAAGAAGGCCATTGGAGGCCCCGGTTTTTGGTGCTCCCGCACTCCACCAATCCCAATATACTCCCTCACTCATTCCGTCTGACTGGGAATTCGGCGAAATGGCTAATCTGATTTTGACCCATGGAGCTGCTGGGAACAAGAATCGCTGGCGAATGCACGCTGGATGGGCCTTCATTATGGCTTAGCATGCCATCACAATCTTGGGCGACATGCTGCCTGCTAGCATTTGCAGCAATGTAAGGGGGTAGAATTGTCAATGGGTACTGAAGCGTATGATTACGCATGCTGGCGCACTTGTGCACAATCGTTTGCTGGCTGGCTGATGCAGCATAACTGGAGGCTGTAACTGCTGACCGCGTGTGGTAATTAATTCACGAACCTGCAAATCCACGATCATCCTTCCCACAGCTCCGACCAGATGCCCATCGGCCGGAAAAAGTAGGTAGAAACATTCAGCAGGAAGGCGTTGAAAATAGATTGGGCTCCGTCCGCCCCCTGAGGAGGACGGAACAGGTGAAGCCACTCGATTCTTGAAGTAGGGAGGCGCTTGAAGTGGAGTGGAATACCTACTTTGAACGACCGCTGGGTAAAGTCCCTCAGCCAGCCAAGCGATGGCTCGCGTGCTGCAGACCACGAACTTGGTGGGACGTGCAAGCTGGGTGCGGCTCGTTGGGGCGGGTGACAGCTGCTCTGGGGAAGCCTGGCTAATACTCATCACTCTGCGGTGTCGAGCAACGCTGTGCATGTGCGGCTTACTACAGCTGGCTTACAATTACTTCGATAATATTGGCGGGAGTGAGGCTGCCTCATATCCTTGAAGGTGGGCTGGATGGGCTGTCGGCGTACGCTTTCAATGTGCAATCGTGCCATTTGGTGCATGCATCGCAGCAATCCCGCATCCCCAATGCCCCGTCATTCATCTCTCGATACGGCCGGCGGACTCCCAGGTGTGAGGAGGAGAAGGGGGAGGACGAGGAAGATCATGAGGAGACATATTGTGAGAGAAACTGTAGAGGAGGACAGGGAGGGGCGGGGCGGGACAAGTATATTTGTTGTGAGGTCGACCCCTGCGACAGGAATGTGAAAGCGAAAGCAGGGCCGGGCATTTCGCGTCGAGCATGCACATAAAACGCCGCAGCCGTCTTGTGACAGGTGCGTCGGCTGCGTCGGCAGGCGCATCCCCTGCCAGAATCGCGCTTCAAAAGAGAGGGGACTAGAGGGGAAAGGACGAAGAGGACGTTCTCGGAGCAGGCGAGGTCGCCTGGCCCATGTGAGCGTACTGGCTGCCCGTCGGCCGGTGCGCCTGCCGGCTCGGGGCTTCGGTCCCCCTCCCTCTACCTGTTCTGTTCCTCCTCCTCCTTTTCCTCCTCCTCCTCCTGCTCCTCCTCCTCCTCCTCATTACTTGCCGTCGAGCCGCCGCTGGCGACCTCTTCCTCCTCCTCCTTCTCCCCCTCCACCTCCTGCCTCCTCTCTGCTCCTCTCCTCTCTCCTCCTTTCCTCGCTCCTCTCCCCGTGCTGGTGACGCACGGGGCCGCCTCTAAGGGTGCGTGCAGGCACCCGACGAGCACCCTGACCAGGCGGGCTTGGTCGAGGAGGTTGAGGCGACAGAGGCGATCAAGAGACTGCATTCACAACTCCCTCTCTTTCTCTCGTTCTCTCTCTCTCTCTCTGTTCAGGCCAGCCTGCCGATTCGAGCGGATCGTCCCTTTCGTTTTTGTTTGTCTTTCCTTCTCCTCTATCTCTCTCTCTCTATATACACATACCTCCCAAGCACAAGCAGTTTGATTTGCGAATCGACTGGTTCGCCACTTCCCAAACATGCTTCCAGGTCGGCTGTATGCAGCAAGCAGCGGGACACTCAAAAGGAGACTGGTGTCGGCGAGAGCTGGATTTTGACCTTCTGCAAAGGTTCTCTTGTACCCTGCCTGGCCTTCGCATTGTGATTCGACTGGATCGCTTTGATACCCTGTCTACCTCCGTCGCTCAGCGATTCGACCGGATCGACAAACTCCCAACATGCCATGAATGTCCAGATAACCTTCACCCACCCTTTTCCCTGGGTCTGGGAAATAAGGACCGCTGCTCAGCAAATTCAGTTCAGCCCCGACATGCTGCTTCGACCGAGTCAGATCATCAATGTGCAGCCTTGCGACTCGGCAAGATCTCACTGATACCCTGTTTACCCGCGTCGTTCCGCATTTCGACTGGATCGCCAAGCTCCCACTGCTCCATGGGCTCGCCCCTGCCCAAGGTCAGGTACTAAGGACTGTAAGGGGAAGCTGCCCCGGGGCCCTCTGGGACCGTCTTGGGGGCCCGCTGGACAGTCGAGGGCCCCTCTTGAGCCGTCTTGGAGGCCTCTTAGAACTCTCTGTGGCCGTCTTGGGGCGATTTGGTCGGCTCCTGGGGCCGTCTTCGACGCGGTCGACGCCGAAGCGGCGAATATCATGAAAATGTTCATTTTTCGGCGGGAATGGGTCCATTTGTGCTTCTGGAGGCGCTCTTGGGAGTCTTCTTGGGGGACTCTTGGGCCATCGTGGGGGCTCCCAGAAGCTGCCTTGGAGCCATCGTCGGCGTGTTGGAGCGACACTTTGGGGATTCTGGGCCCTCGTGGACGTCCTGGGTGGGGGGGACGCATGCGAACACAACCACTGGGGCCTTCGGTGGAGCTCCCTATGGGGCCACGAAGCGCTGTCCTGGGTGGGGGAAACGCATGCGAACAGCCCCACTGGGGCCTTCGGTGGAGCTCCCTATGGGGCCACGAAGCGCTGTCGTGGGTGGGGGAGACGCATGCGACCCCCCCCCCCCCAGTGGGGCCTTCGGTGGAGCTCCCTATGGGGCCACGAAGCGCTGTCCAGGGCGGGGGAGACGCATGCGAACGCCCCTACTAGGGCCTTCGGTGGAGCTCCCTATGTGGCCACGAAGCGCTGTCCTGGGTGGGGGAGACGCATGCGAACACCTCCACTGGGGCCTTCGGTTGAACTCCCTATGGGGCCACGAAGCGCTGTCCTGGGTGGGGGAGACGCATGCGACCCCCCCCCCCCCAGTGGACCCTTCGGTGGAGCTTCCTATGGGGCCACGAAGCGCTGTCCTGGGTGGGGGTGCGAACGCCCCCACTAGGGCCTTCGGTGGAGCTCCCTATGGGGCCACGAAGCGCTGTCCTGGGTGGGGGAGACGCATGCAAACACCACCATTGGGGCCTTCGGTGGAGCTCCCTATGGGGCCACGAAACGTTGTCCTGGGTGAGGGAGACGCATGCGAACACCCCGATTGAGGCCTTCGGTGGAGCTCCCTATGCGGCCACAAAACGCTGTCCTGGGTGGGGGAGACGCGTGCGACCCCCCCCAGTGGGGCCTTCGGTGGAGCTCCCTATGGGGCCACGAAGCGCTGTCCTGGGCGGGGAAACGCATGCGAACACCCTCTCTGGGGCCTTCGGTGGAGCTCCCTATGGGGCCACGAAGCGCTGTCCTGGGTGGGGGACACGCATGCGAACACCCCGAGTGAGGCCTTCGGTGGAGCTCCCTATGGGGCCACGAAGCGTTGACCTGTGCAGGGGAAACGCATGCAAACACCCCTAGTGGACCCTTCGGTGGAGCTCCCTATGTGGCAACGAAACGCTGTCCTGGGTAGGGGAGACGCATGCGAACACCCCCTGTGGGGCCTTCGGTGGAGCTCCCTATGTGGCCGCGAAACGATGTCCTGGGTGGGGGAGACACATGCGAGCCCACCGATTCTGGCATTCGGTGAAGCTTCCTAGGGCAGCGAAATGCTGTCCTGGGTGGGGGAGGCCCATGCGAACACCCCCTGTGGGGCCTTCGGTGGAGCTCCCTATGGGGCCACGAAGCGCTGTCCTGGGTGGGGGAACCGCATGCGAACACCCCCACTGGGGCCTTCGGTGGAGCTCCCTATGGGGGCACGAAACGATGTCCTGGGTGGGGGAAACGCATGCGAACACCCCCACTAGGGCCTTCGGTGGAGCTCCTTATGGGGCCACGAACCGCTGTCGTGGGTGGGGGAGACGCATGCGAACACCCCCACTAGGGCCTTCGGTGGAGCTCCTTATGGGGCCACGAAGCTGTGAAATGATGATGATGCTGCTGCTGATGGTGGTGATGACGATGATGACGATGACGACCACGACGGCGAGGACGTCACCGAAGACGACGACGAGGATGATGATGATGATGATGATGATGATGATGATGATGATGATGATGATGGTGGTGGTGCTGGTCATGGTCATGGTGATGATGATGATGATGATGATGATGATGGTGATGGTGATGGTGATGATGATGATGATGATGATGCTGATGATGCTGATGGTGATGATGATGCTGATGATGATGATGATGACGACGACGGCGGTGATGGAAGGAGGGGGAGGAGGAGGAGGAGGAGGAAGGAAGGAAGGAGGAGAGACGCGGGGCGCTGTCCCTTCAAAACGAGGACCCAACACCACAGGATGGTTGGGAAATATATTAGCTTCGCGTCCACGGGGTGCATCTCATGCTCCTGCGTCAGTTACGCAAGATTCGCGTCCCCGAGGCCGCAAACCTTTATCAATTGCACGAGTGTTGCGCCCCCGAAGCCACGATCCCTTGTAAACTAAATCACATTCGCGTCCCCGAAGCCATAAAACTGTTCAAATTACGCCATATTCGCATCGTCGAGACCAAGACGGCTCCAAGGCCCCCGAAGATGGGTGCACGACGGCCCAAGAGGGCCCAAAGATGCCCCAAGAGCGCTCCAGGAGACCTCCCGAGAGAGAGCCTCAAGAGGCCAAAATCGTAGAGTCGACGAAGGTTTCTGAAGGATGTTGGCCTTCTCGCATGTTCTGCTTTCCGACGCTTCAAGGCGGCTCAAGATGCTCCCCAGACCGCCCCAAGACAGCCCAAGGCGCCTCCAAGATGGCCCCGAGACGGCCCAAGAGGGCTCCAAGATGGCCCAAGAAGCGCTCAAGACGGCCCAGGAGGGGCCCAAGCAGGGGACCACGAACCGAACATGTGCTTTCTCGCCTCTTCTTCTTTGCTTCTTTTGACATTTGCTTCTTTTCGGCCTTCCGACGGCCCGAGACTGCCCAAGAGCCCCCAAAGATCGCCCCAAGATCTTTCAAGAGGCCTCCAAGATGGCCCAACAACGGCCCAAGAGGCCCCCAAGACGGCCCAAGAGGCCTCTAAGACGCCCTAGATGGCCTCCAAGACGGCCCTGGAGCATTCCAAGAGGGCCGCCCCAAGTCGGCTCAGAGAGGCCCCCCAAACGGTTTCCGACGGCGGCAGACGGGCCAGGAGCCCACCACGACGGCCGAAGATGGCCCTAAGATGGCCCCTCCAGGAAGGCCCGAAACGGCCAAAATCATTAATGTGTCACGAATTTTTGAAGGGACGGTCCGAGATGGCCCAAGAGCACCCAAAGATCACCCAAGAGGTCTCCAGTATGGCCCCAGAACGGCCCAAGAGGCCCCCAAGACGGCCCCAAGAGGCCCCCAAGACGGCCCAAGAGGCCTCCAAGACGCCCAAGATGGCCTCCAAGACGGCCCTGGGGCACCCCAAGAGAGCCACGAGACGACCCGGAGAGGCCCCCAAGACGGCTTCTGACGGCGTCAGACGGGCCAGGAGCCCACCAAGACTGCCAAAGAGGCCCCGAGAAGCCCCCAAAGGTCCAAGAGGTTCCCAGGAAGCTCCCACGAGGCCCCAACAGTGTCCCCAGATGCTCCCAAGATGCCCCTCCTCCTCCTCCTCCTCCTTCTTCTCCACCTCCTCCTCCGCCTCCTCCTGATCTTCCCCGCCATCCTCCCCCAAGTGTTCCCCGAAGGGTTTCCACAAAGGTTGGGGGAACACATGGCCCGATACCTTGGCAGAGCTTTTGCCACAACGCTCGGCCACATGGGCGATTCTAGAAGGCGCGGGGCGGCGGTGATTCGCCGTAGGCGACTTCGATCCGCCGCCCCCTGTTGATTTATCACAAAGGTGCCTGGCGAACTGAATCCTTTCGCTTTTGGTTTGTTTTTCCAAAAAAGAACTCCCCATGGGGCTTCGGCCCGTCCCGCCGGCCACCCGGAAGGGTGCACAAAAGGTGGTTGCAAACGGTTTTTCGACATCAGACGGCTCCAAGATGGCCTCCAAGATGGCCTCCAAGCTCGCCCAAGATGGTCCAAGATGGCCTCGAAGACGGCCCACGAGAGTCAAGGATGCCTCCAAGTTCGCATAAGAAACACCTAATATTGCCCAAGACGGCCCCAGAGGCCTACAAGAGGCCTCCAAGACGGCCCACGCGGCCTCCAAGAGGTCCTCCACGAGGGCCCGA